CACTCACTGCCTGTCCATGAATGCTTGGCAAGCGAGGCTGGATGCCTCCACCATCTGTGTGAAATCCTTCCAGCCATTTAGATTAAACATTGACTTCAGTAAAATGTAGGGCTCCTAATGACCTGACATAGTCCATATGGAGTAGCTGCCACAGATAGTGACTATCTTGACACTGATTAATCACTTCTTCTAGTAGTATATTTGTCCCTGGTTACTTGACACAGTTCTTCCCTAATAGCTTTTGAATAGTTCTGGGGTATTCATATGACCTTGGCTTTGGGGAATAGCCCATCTGATGACACACATTACCTGCTTCAGTGTAGGCTTGGCTGATTTTCATCAAACTAACTTGGACACTAGCTTTTGGCTTTTTTTCTTTCCCCTGCATCCACCAGTATTGTTTTCTGCAATGGGAAACACCTTAGCTATGCTGTTCTGTTTGGTTTAGGTGCTACCATTTGCAACAGGCTGGGCTTGGTCTACATCACAGCATGTAGAGACTGTGATTGCACCTCTGTGTCCTTCCTTGTCACTTACAGTCAGAGGCATGACAAGCAATCTGCATTACTGATTCTCCTTGCTTTGGAGCTAGCAGTTAAATGATCTGTAACTGGAGTCAATCACTGCTCAGACAGACAGCAGCGACACTGTCTGACACCCCAAACTAAATGTGGAGTTTCTCAGTCTGAACGTCGTTCTCTTCTTCAAAGCTAGGAGAGCCAGAAGCAAAGGCAAGAGATGTTCCAGCCTGATCTTCCATCAAGTGTGAGTTGGGCACAGGTTGCCCCGAGAAGATGTGGATATCCCATCCCTGGCAATGTTCAAACCCCCAGTGGATGGAACTTGGAGCAACCTGGGCTAGTGGAAGTTGTCCCTGCTCATGGCAAGGGGTGGAACTAGATGGTCTTTAAGGTCCCTTCCAACCCAAACCATTCTGTGATTGTATTTATTATTAGACCCACTTCACATGGGGAAGCATCACAAGTGAGAGTTAGAGGCACCAAGGCACTCAAGGACCTGTTCTGATGAGATCAGTGTCTCTACTCTCTCCCCAGCCTTGGTGCCATGTGTGGTCCAGCACTGGCTCTGTCCCAGGGGTTACTTTGCAAAGCAGTGACTCACCAGTTCCAGGAAGCAATGTATTCATGGAATGTGCAGCAAAAGGATCTTAAAGCCATTTTCAGATTATTATTTTCCCCATTTTTCCTTGTCAGTTTTAGAAATTGTTTTTCCCAGCAGAATGGCTGGGAAAATTCAACATGCTGTTAAAGTTGTGAGATGTTTCCTTTTGCTTTTCATCTCCACTCAGACAACCTTTCACACCTGGACAGGTGACTGACTTGCTGAGTGTAAGGATTGGTGATGTGTCAGCTGAACCTCAAGGATGGAGAACGGCCTGGACACTCTGAGCCTGGACCACAGTTGCAATGTGACATGTTGAAGATGAATTCAGCACAGGTGACCACAGAGATGAGTTGTATTAGCTGATACTGTGCTGGTTAGGAAAGGACACGTGGCCAGTGCTGCAACCCATCTGAGAGCAATGCTGAGTCAGCTGGTGTAGCTTGAGCTTCTTGAGTTCTTTTGGAAGCTCTTGTGGTGCTCCCCATCTCCAGCTCCACTGTGTTGTGTAAGTGCCAGCATCTCTGGAATGCTTTCTCACCACAGAGATGAGTTGTATTAGCTGATACTGTGCTGGTTAGGAAAGGACACGTGGCCAGTGCTGCAACCCATCTGAGAGCAATGCTGAGTCAGCTGGTGTAGCTTGAGCTTCTTGAGTTCTTTTGGAAGCTCTTGTGGTGCTCCCCATCTCCAGCTCCACTGTGTTGTGTAAGTGCCAGCATCTCTGGAATGCTTTCTCCCATCTGATCCATGACTCTCTTCCATCTGATCCATGACTCACAACCAAATAGTTGTTACAGATGGTCCTTTTCACTTAAAATAAGACCTGATTTGTTTAATCTTGGAATAGTTCATGCCATGTTCCTCAGCCTCCATTCGTGGATAGACTTAGGGAACAGCTTGGGATGACTCCTGAGCCTCTTTCCTGGGTAGTAGCTGTTGGTCTACCCGTGATACTGGGTTAACTGTGACCTTGAAACCACCCTAGATGCATACAATCCTCTGTGTTTCCATGGCTATCACCAGTTGTCTTATCCAAGAGTTTAGCTAACTTTTCTTTTTGGCTGGAGTTCACAAATTATTTCCTTCTCATATAAGCAAGCACAAGATGTTTTGTCAGTCCAGCTACATTGTGGCTGTCTCGTGCTATACAATACCTTGCCTGAGATCACAGAGGCTGTGTATACACTGTCTGCTGTTGTATTACTCATATTATAATAATGTTCAGGAGAACAAAGATTGCTTGGGCATGTGTTTTTAGAGACACAGATTCTCTGTAACACCTCCTTGCTAAGAGATCTTCGATGATCCCACCAGCTAATTGCCAGCACAGTGAATCACAAGAATAACATCATTTTAGATGTTATTCTTGTCACTTTAAAGGATTCCAAATAATACTTTTGTTTCTTGTGAACCAAAAGTGGCAATTACGTAGACATTAGGGTTTCTACATTCCTTGCACATTGCTGTGTGCAAGCTGAGGAATATGAAGTTAACCAGCATTGACTTTCTACACTGGTGACTGGGTGTGATTTGCTAACCTGCATGTTTTCTGCTTGTGCACCATCCCTTGCAGTGTCTACATGATTTGTCCTTGAGCAAATGACTATGTGCATTGTGCAACTGTCCCTTGTGATAGAAGCAGCACATTCTCTGAATGTCCTTCAAGCTGTACTTTCCTCTTGACCTCTGAGCTTGGCTGTGGGATGGATTTTGTGATGCTCCCAAACTCTACAGCATCTTCAGTAAGTCTCCATTGAAATGGTAATTTCTAGAGCACACTTCAGGCTCATCTCAGCTTTAGATAAAAATTAAATGTGGATTGCTTCCTTCTGCATATTGAATACTAAGGGATGCACTCATTTGTTCCCTCTGCAGACACATGATGCTCTGCCAATTTCCTTAATCCAGGCACAGAAGCAGTCAGCAATTGTTTCCATTCACTTTTGATTCCATCTGTAAAAGGAAATACCTGCAATCACCAGAGGCTTTTCAGAACAAGGATTTTGTAGAACTTGTCCAATTTCAACAAACTTTTTGTCTGCTGGCTTAATGGGCACTATCTGACTGCACATCAGGGTGTCAGTTTTAGCTCCCATTGTGCTGCCATGTGTTTTGCAGTGCAGAGATCATCAGTTATTTTAGGATTTCCCCATCTCTTGCAGGTCCTCTACAGACCTGCCAAAGGAGTCTAACCCCCCTGCAATATTTTAAACTTTGCTTTGTAAGTGGATTACTCACTGGACTGATGTCAGCTTATATTTAATATTAATTTTCAGACTTGCAGGAGTAGTCATTCTTTATTCCATCTACTTCTAGACTAATATCCCACCCTTGTCTCACATTTTTTGCCACTTCTCTGTCTATGTGATGTTGCTAATATCCAGCAACCCTATGGCTGGATCCTCTGTAACACTTCATATTTATCTACAGAGAGACAGGAGTAGATACATGAATGCACTACCATTTATCAGAGTAAATGAAGACAGAGAGCTTTATTAGAAGGCTCACAGCTGATTTAAATTAATATTGCCAACTCTGAGGTTTTACAAAGCTTCTGGAAGAAGCTTTGTAAAACAATAGCTGTGTCTGCACTGGAAATTAAGGCTGGTATTGAGATGTAGTCAGTTTTGCAGTCAGACATCACAGATTCATAGAATCACAGAATTTTAGGGGTTGGAATAGACCTTAGAAACCATCTAGTCCCAACCTCCTGCCCTGGGCAGGGACATTTCCCACCGGAGCAGGTTGCTCAAGGCTTTAGCCAACCTGGCTGTGAACACTGCCAGGGTTGGGGCAGCCACAGCCTCCCTGGGCAACCTGGGACAGTATCTCACCACCCTCACAGGGAAAAATCTTTTTCCTAATATCTTGCCTAAATTTCTCCTCCTTTAATTTGAACCTGTTTCCCCTTGCACTATCACTGCAGCTCCTTAGAAAGAGTCTCTTTCCAGCTTCCCTGTAGCCCCTTCAGATACTGAAAGGCTACTATGGGGTCTCCATTGGAACCTTCTCTTCTCCAGGCTGAACAGTCCCAACTTTCTCAGCCTGTCCTCACAGGGGAGATTCAGGCATGACCAGTGCAGAAAGCAGCTCTAAGCCCAGCTGGACTGTTTGTGCCTCTCCCTTTTGCTGCCCCCAGTAACCCACCCTGCATGGGAAGGGTGAGGAGGGATGTGATGTGCATGACCACAACTCTGACCTCTCTGAAACTCCAGTACTGACTCCTTCTGCCTGGTCACATTCAACTTGTTCCTGCAATAATAGCTATAAGGGTCCAACCAGATGGATAAAATCTGGATGTATGTTTATAAGAGCTCAGGCAGAGATAAACCTGTGCTTACCTGGCTCAGGAAAACATCTGTCCCAGCTGTGCACTTCACTACGTGCTGGTGCAATGAAGCTGGGAGCATGGCAGGAGTACAAAGGCAGAGAGTCATTTGCTCTATGCAGTGCATTTGGATTCTGGATGTGGAGCATGACTTTCCAGAAACTGGGCTCAGAATTTCACAAAATATTCCCTTTTTTTTTTTCCCATTTGACCTGAGCTAATCAGAAGCAATCAAGTCAAGTGACACTGATGTAACCCTTATTCCTCTTTAATTTCTAACCCCAATTATACCTGTCATTACTTCCTTTTTTCTTGTGGGTTTGTTTTAACCATTTTTTTTTTTTACAAAAACAATTTCAAGCAGAAAATTTCACTCGGAGTGTGTCTAGAAACCAGTTTCACTTCCCTTGTTCTCTGCAACTCTGAGTGACGTGCAGTGAGAAGCAGGAGTGGTGAAACACAATTCTTGGCACTGCAGGAGGTTTCTTGCTCCAGGGCTCTGAGTGACACCCATGCTGCCTTCTCCTGCTCTCCTGGCCTCCTGAAGATGCCCAGGAGAGGAGCTCTTCCCCCGTGGACCCTCCTGGTGCTGCTGCAGCTGGCACTTGTCCCATCACCACTGACACGCTGCCTCCTCAGCCTGCCCTGCTTGGAGGTATGTCAGCTCAAAGTGAGCACAAAATCCTTGGAGTTTCTCTGGTGCAACTTTTCCCTCTGTTTGGGAGATTTGTGCATGAAGCCTGTTGTCTGGTAGTTGTCTTAGGAAAGCTCATCTCTTTTTTCCCCAAGGTTGTTACCAAGGCAATTGAAGTATTTGAAAGAAATGCTGGTCTCAAAAACATTTGAGAACCAGAACCAGAGCGTGAACCGATGAACCTTTTCTTCTTGTTGGCTTTCTGTACCTCTGAGGGTGCTGTAGTATAGTTAATGTAACAGATTATGTTTCCCTTGGAAGAGATCCAAGCCTTGTCTATAAATTCTGCAAAATACAGTACTTTTTCCTGATTTGAATTGCAGAGTCATATCTCCACTATCCCAAGTTCCTGACACTGACCAACTGCATTTTGCAAAGTTTTGCTGACAATTATTACTTACAGAATCACTTTGGTTTGGGCTGCCTGATTATCTGCAGGGTAGCAGAGCTGAGAGCTGAGCCTGGACACACAGTACCTGTGTATGTGTTTGTCTCACTGACTCTCTCACAATGTTGCTGCTGCCTCATCCACAGCCTCGAGGAACACTGTCCTGTAGTTTCCATCTGCTTCAATCAGCAAGAAATGTAGCTCTTCCTAGGGAGTAGGTTCTATTAGAAGTGGGAAAGATGCTTAGGAAGTACAAGATTATTTCCTAAAACTCAGGGTAGCTCATTTAGAAATGACCTGCAAGATTAGTCATTCTGCTGCTCCTGCTTTCCTGACAGTGTAGTGTTCTGGCACTTCATGAAGAGCAGATGTTGACCATGACTGGATCTGCCACTGTTACAGGTCATCCCTAACACAACTTTCAGATGCACAGGACTGAACATCTCTGGAGTTACTGCTGAAGTCCCAAATACAACCCAGAACCTGGATCTGAGTTTTAGCAATCTGGAATCACTCTGGTCAAATTATTTTTCAGCAGTCCCTGAACTGCAGCTTCTGGATCTTTCCAGGTAATGAGCTCTTTTATGAGGATACTGGTTAGTCTTCCTTCACCAGGTGGACCACTGTGGTAGCTTATTTTGAGGTCTTTTGGTCTTGGCTACTCAGGGCTTGTTTTGCTTGTGTCTTTATCCCTGTGTCCATGATTTTGCACATCCCATTGGTGAAGTGATGTGCAGCTTTTAGTCCAGTTACTGAGTGCAGTAACCCTCCGTGCAGAGCTGGGTCTGTCAGTCTGATCTTGTAGGTTGGCATGTGAGAAGGAGGAGGAAGATGTTTTACTTGTCTCTGAACAAGAAAAATGTCAGACTTTTCACTGTTACAAAAACTCTGAAGTGGAACATCTTGGGTGAGCTGTTTTTCTAATCACAGTTCAAAAAAAAAATTAAGGTGAAGGTACATTCATTTTCTAAAAGGCTGTTTTAAAATATCAACATATTCTCTTTTCCCTTCTCCTCACATATCTGGGGGACTACATGGGGGAGGCTTATTAGCAAATTTGAATTGATGTATAATTTCCATTGACTTGAGACAACAGTTTCTCTGGGTAAATTGTTTCACTGAAAAATGTCACTCAGTCCCATCACAGCTCCAGCTCTGAAGTGACTGAGTGGCAGAGCACGTTTGCTCTAAAACACTTTCTGGATTAGAAAACTAATTTTGCTGGAATTCACTGCATAACGGATTTGAGTCTCAAATTCTGGATCTTCCCACAGGAAACCATCTTTAGGTGGCCACACTCTTCCTTTTCTTTAGAGCCAACATGGCCTGGGGTCTGCTCCCTCTCAGACATCAGCAGCAGATCTGCTGACAGAGTTGTGAGTGTTGCCACAGCTGCACCATGCCCAGATGTGACTGAGGGGACAGTCTGAAGGCTGTGAGGGTGCAAAAGGTAAAGGAGGACTGTATCTGGTTGGTTCTACCACCAGTGATGGTCATCACAATGTCACTTTGGCCTAAACAGAAAGCTACAATTCTTCTTTCCTGCTGCCTGCATGAAGTTTTGACCTTCACTGTGGCTCAAGGTCTCTTGTTCTGCAGCTGAACCTCAGTTCCAGAGGAAGGAGGAGGTGAGAGGAGGTCTCCTGCTGTGGAAGGGTTGCTGACTCTGCCCAACACAGCAAAGCCAAACCAATCTCCAACGCAAGGCTGAGCCTGAGGATGTCACAGCAGCACTTAGTGCTGCAGTGTTAGTGAATGTGAAAGGAACAGTGTTTCATGCACTTCTATTCTCTTTTCCTGCCCAACAGGTGCCACCTCCATACAATAGAAGATAACTCCTTTATGGATCTTCATAGACTTTCCACCTTAATTTTAACTGCCAATTCCCTCCAGTACCTGGGGACAGCAGCCTTCAATGGCTTAACATCTCTGAAAAAGCTAGTACTGGTGGAAACCAACACATCCTCTCTGAATGACCTGCCCATTGGACACTTGCATACCCTGCAGGAGCTAAATTTGGGCCACAACAACATTGCTTCATTGAAGCTTCCCAAGTATTTCACCAACCTGACCTCTCTCAGGCACCTGAACTTTCGCTCTAACAATATCACATACATTTCCAAAGGAGACCTTGATGCTCTGAGGGGAGGGAACAGGCTCAACCTTATGCTAGTGCTTTCCCTGAATAATATAAAATGCATAGAGCCAGGGTCCTTTGCAAAGATTCACCTTGGGGAGCTGGTTCTAAGGTCCACATTTGAGAACTTCAGCGTGATGCACACTTCTCTTCTAGGCCTGAAGGATTTACAGGTCAATAGACTAATAGTTGGAGAATTCAGTGACCAGTGGAGACTGAGAGAATTTCAGAGAGGACTCTTGAGTGGACTGTGCCAGGTACAGATGCAAGAGTTTGTCTTAATATGTTTCAGAAAATTTCGCAGTAATACAGACACTCTTTTTAACTGCATAAGCAACGTTTCCAGTATTAGGTTGGTGGACCTTGGACTTGAGGTGCTATCAGAGGTTCCTATGTTCTCTCAAGTGAAGCAGCTGGAATGCAAGAAATGTGATTTTGATGAAGTGCCTGCTAAGAACATTTCTCTTTTCAAGGAGCTGAGAGTGTTTCGTATGACCAAGGGCACATACCTCAAGAGTTTTGAGCAGAAATTTGAGAATTTAAGTAAGCTGGAGGTCATAGACTTGAGTGAGAATCGCCTCTCCTTCAAACAGTGCTGCTCCCCTCAGTTTCAAAATTGTTCAAACTTGAAACACTTGAACCTAAGCTTCAATTCTGCTATCCACTTGTCTGGAGATTTCACTAATGTGAAGAATTTGTTATATTTGGACTTACAGCACACAAAGTTATTTGGCCCTGGCTCCTTCCCTGTCTTTCTATCCCTTCGGAAACTCATTTACCTTGATATTTCCCATACCAAAACTCACGTTCACTCCCAGTGTACATTCTGTGGCTTGGACTCTTTGCAAGTGCTCAAGATGTCAGGCAACTCCTTTGAGAACAATAAGCTGGCAAACAACTTCAAAAACCTAAGCCACCTCCACACCTTGGATATTTCAAGTTGCATGTTAGTCCAGGTGGATCGAAGCACATTTGATGCCCTCTCTGAACTAAAAGAGCTAAACATCAGCAACAATAAGCTCCTGACTTTTGATCCTGGAGTCTACCAGCCTCTCCAAGCCCTCAGAGTCCTGGATTTCAGTAACAATCAGCTGACTGTTCTGTTGGACTCAGCCCTGGAAATCCTGCCTGAGAGCCTGGTCCTGTTAGACATCTCTCAAAACCTGTTTGACTGCTCTTGTGCACACCTAAATTTTCTGAAATGGGTCAAGGAAAAGCAGGAGCTACTGCAGAACAAGGAGTTGATGATATGCCACACACCTGTGGACATGAAGAATGTCAACCTGTCAAGCTTTGACCTGTCCTCCTGCCATGTCAATGCAAGGAAAGTGACCTTCTTAGTGCTCGTATTCCTCATTGTAGCAGTGTCCCTCTTCTTGATTTACAAGTACTACTTCCAGCTATACTACACATTGGTGCTGCTCAGTGGGTGCAAACACTCTGCAGAAAGAGGTGACACCTATGATGCCTTTGTTATCCACTCCAGCAAAGATCAAGAATGGGTGATAAAAGAGCTGGTGGAACCCTTAGAAGGGGGAACACCTCCCTTCCACCTGTGTCTGTACTACAGGGATTTTCTACCAGGGGTACCCGTTGTCACCAATATTATCCAAGAAGGTTTTCTCAGTAGCAGAAATGTCATTGCAGTCATCTCTACTGACTTTCTGGAAAGTAAGTGGTGTAGCTTTGAGTTTGACATTGCCCAGTCCTGGCAGCTTGTTGAGGGAAAGGCTGGAATCATCATGATTGTACTAGAAAAAGTAGATAAGGCCTTGCTGAGACAGAGGCTGGGACTGTCCCGATACCTGAGGAGGAACACCTACCTGGAGTGGAAAAACAAGGAAATAAGTAAGCAAATCTTCATGAGACAGCTGACAGGAGTCTTGCTAGAGGGCAGAAATTGGAATCAAGAGGAGATAAAGCTCATGTGAAGATAAAGAGCGATGCCTGCTCTCCTGTCCTGGCCTTGGCTGATGGATGGTGGTCAGACGTTGGTTCTTCTGTTGCTGTGCAGTCAGAGGGAGTGGATGGAGGCACTGCAAAAGCACTACAGAAACACCTGTCTTGCTGGTCACCCTTTCTCAAGCAAACTTGCAAGCTAAAGAGTGACAAGAGCCAGAAGAGCTATACCTGCCTGAGCTCCATGTTTGTGGCTGTCAACCAAAGCTGGTCCAGCAATCCACACAGGTCTGGTGGGTCAGTGAACAGACAAACTGCTCTTACTGTCATTTGTCTGCCTCTGAAACTGGATTTGAGTCCTGGAGCCATTTGCCCAGTGGAACTTCAGGGTCTGTTGCTTTGGGCAGAACGCAGGGTCTCCAGGGCAGAGTAAAGATACAGGGTTCTTGACTTTAAAACTGGTTGGAAACAGAAGCAAAGTTTGGATTCAGAAAGTCTTGTGTTTGCCTCTTTAAGCACCATGACTCAGGGGAAAACCCCTCCAGTGAGCAATGGGGTTCCTACAGCACACACCACCTGGCAGCTACTCAGTGAAGCTGAGCAGTTATGTCATCAGCAGGGAGAGAGGTTTCCATTGGTGGGAAATTTCCCCAGTATGTTTTGTTCAGTTTTCTTTAGACCAAGATGAAATATTAAAACCATTACCTGAAACTCTTGGTTATATCCACATTATATATAGCATTTGAGAGAGCACTTTAGGGTTTTCTTGTGGGATCCAAAAACCACTGGGACCAGAACAAGCCATAGAAATGTTTAACAACTTTAAAGTCAAATACTTCTTTTCTCCAACTGTTTCTCCTCACCTGATGTTTCTGGATATACTGTGTGGGACTGTCCTATGTGAACAAGATTGAGCAAAGTGTTTTTATGTTTACAGCCAGCCAGTTCTAGAATAAGCTTTCCACTCTCTAAACTAGCCTTAATTCACTGTTGGAAGGTGCTGCAGGAGTCTCCATGGTGTGAAAGGGACTTCAGATCAGCATGTGTGCTCAGCCTTTCCCAGGGCACAGCTGCTGCCTGGAACAGGACAGTCACTGGATGGGGGAGTTTTACCTTTGTTTCACTAAGAACATGCCTGACATTTTGCAGGGAGAAGAGATAGAGGAGAAAAGTCTGGGTTAGCTCAACCAAATGTATCTCAGCACTTCCCTGAATAAAGGGAAGGAAAGTCTAAATGCCATGGAATCATATTACAGAGCACTCCATCGATGTGTCGGATATTGGATAGCGTGGGAGTATTGCTCTCTATTTACCAAAGGCTTTAGTTGGGATTAATCACTGAATTACTCTAGTTTTAAACTTGCAAATCCTTCTATAATCAATGATGTTCTGCAGAGGTAAAACAGAAGCAATTGAGTGGTGAATCAGATCTGATATTTATTCAGAAGGGAGGGCCTGATCCAGCTCCCTTTTCTAAGCACCAGTCAGCACTATCTCTGAGGCAGCCAGTGCTCAGGGATCAGCATCAGGCATTATTTCAAACAGAGGGAGAGCTAGGTCCTTGTGCTGGCAAAAGCTGAATCACAGCTCCCTCTCTATGTGCTATGCCAGATAACACTACCAAAAAACCCTACAGCCCTCTAAACTTTTTTGTGACCCATGAGATGAAGCTTTGATAAAACTAAGCTCAATGCTGCATTCTCTTGCCCAGAATTTGGTTTGCATGTGCTAACTACTGGTGCAGCAATTCCCAGAGTGCACTGCCCCTTAGCTCCACTGTGATTGATGGATCCTGCAAACCTTCCTCCTCACCTTTCCACCTCCACCTTCCACCTCCTCCAGGGACAGAGTCTGTTGGAGCTGGTGGGGGACAATAAACCAGGGCACAGCTCGATGTTCCCTGGATTGAGGCCAAAGGAGAGCACAGAGGACAAAGCAAATATTAACCTGGATTTCAACAGCTACAAGTTAAATTGGGAAACAAAAGAGGAAAAATTAAATAAGGTGGGAGTTCCTGCTTCTGAATTGAACAGCACTGAAGCTGCATTTCTGCCTCACTCTCTCTCTCCGTGGCTCCTCTACAAACAATTCAGTGTAGTGTATTTCTGGCACAAAGCACAGAGTCCTGTGATTCTTGATTATAATTATGAGTTTCTGAAAGCCTGTGAGTGGTTCTGGGCATTATAATAAGGATTTAGGACAGTATTATTTAAAAAGGGAGTGTTTGTTTGAGTATCAAAGCAACTTCAGGAGAGCTGGAGTGATGCTGAGACAAGGCTCCCACCTGTACAATTAAAAAAGGAACTGGTTACTTGTTTTTCTCTTCTTATTCAGAGTCTCCACAGCAGACACGGATATGTGAGTTGCCCCAGGCTTCCTTATTGCCCAAAGAAAAGCATAAACCCCATGATAACTTCTGGAAGTGGGAGTGAGATGGAGCAGTGAGACAGAGACTGGAGGCTGTTCAGAACACAGAGGGGTTTGGGAGAGGTTCATGCTCTGGAGCCCCAGTCACTGTCTCTCCTGTTTCCCTCCATGCATGTAGAGATGCATATGACTTGCTCCTCATACTTCTCTTGTGACTTACTCTTTAGACCCTTCCCCAGCTCTGTTGCCCTTCTCTGGACAAGCTCCAGCACATCAATGTCTTTCTTGCAGTGAGGAGCCCAGAACTGGACACAGGACTGGAGATGCCTCAGCAGTGCACAGTACAGGGAGACAATCACTTCCCTGGTCCTGCTGCCACACTATTTTTGATACAAGTCAGGATGCTATTTGCCTTCTGGGCCACCTGGGCACACACTGGCTCATGTTCAACCACTGTTGACCAGCACCCCCATGTCCTTTCCCAATGTGCATCTTTTCACCCACTCTTCCCCCAGCCTGGAGTACTGCAGGGGTTGTTGTGACTCAAGTGCAGGATGAAGACACAAGCTGATTTTTTCATTGCTGAGACTTTCCACAACAGATCCAGGATTATGTTAGTCCATGGACTATCAACACCTGGCTGTATCCTGCATGTAGTTCAGGCAATAAAACCCACTGATGAATCCCTGGAATGAATTTCACTAAGTGTCTTTTGCAAACTATCTTGAATAGTAGTGTGAAACATTCAACCAGCAGAGAAAAAGTAGATTTGTTTTGGGAAGGCTCAAAACAACTTTTCCCAATGCTATAAATGGGGGAAATATTGTGGTTCATGGAGAGACACTGATATCCATTTGCCTTCATTACAGAAAGCACATTTCCAAAGGAAACCTCATGCCTCCAAACCTGTTCTCATGCCTCCAAACCTGTTGGCATGCCCTGTTGTTTGCAAGGGCTCACTCTGCAGCAAGCAGCTTTGCCATGATTTATTCATTTGGGTGAATAACTGAGCAGCCAACCAAATCTCAGTGCCGGTCTGCATTCATCTCTCATGTAAATAACTGAACATATTCCAGTTATTAAAGCATCTATTTTACCCAGGTCATAAAAACAGATGGAGACAAAGCTCCAAAGAGCTGTTGCATCCAAGCCATTTCATTTGTAATGGGGATGTGCTCTGGTTTCACTATGTGCTTTATTTGACCCATGCAAAATGCCAGTACAGAGGAAGCTCCTTGCCCCGAGGAGGGTGATGTCTCAGGGGCAGGACATCATGATGTGCTGGCATCACCAAGCTGTGGTTTGCAGTGAGGGCTCTGAACAGACCAAGCCCTCATTAGTGTGATTGCATTTGTGGGCTCCACACTGTAGCAGAGACATTCTGCAGAAGCTGAAAACCAGAGCCATGTGCATTGCTGCCTGCCTGGATCTGGCTGGTTGCAGGAGCAGCACTGTGAAAATGCTCCCTTGGCCTCTCTGAGTCTGAGCACAGACTCCCAGTGTCAGTTAAAAAAAATCAACAAAACAAGAAAAAGCAGCTGGTTTCTTTGGACCAACTGATACTTGACAGGAACAGGTTGAAACTTCTCTGGAAGAGTATTTGTCCATAGGGAAATGTTATTTTGTAGGTGGTTTGTGGAATTTAATGAGGTAGTATAGTGAATCTATGGCACAGAAATTGTCCTAGCAGAGTTTCTGCTTTAGTATTGCATGGGGCTGTAATTTTGGAACAGATACTGTACATGGAAACAGTGATGTTTAAAATGTTTTGGAGGGGTTGGAAAGAAGGATTTCAAATAAAAGGTAAATTGCTCTATAGTGTCATTTAAAATATGTTGATTTAGGCTTATGTTTTTGTTTCTCAGAGGACCTTTTCATGCTGGAATTTGTTTCCATTTATATCATCTGACAACACTCCCAAAACAGCTCCAAAATGTAAAAATGTTTCCCATATAGCCAAATAAAACAAACAAACAAACAACAAACAAATTTAATTTTATGGTAAAAATCACATTTTTTTTATTTTTGTATCACTCTGAAAAGCAAAACTTTTGACAAAATAGCAATTCCTCTTCCATGTCATCTCTTCCCCTGCCCCTCTGAATGTCAAACCTTCTCCTGGCTGTATCCCACATGTAGTTCAGGCAGTAAAAACCACTGATGAATCCCTGGACTGAATTTCACTAAGTGCCTTTTGCGAAACATCTTGAGTAGGTGCAGTCGATCGATACGAACTGCCTGAGCCTGAGAGCAGCTGAACTTGGGAGGAAAGAAGCAATTCCTTAATAAGTTGTTCTTTGCCATCACAGCTCAGGCTGAGAACTGGGACAAATGACAGCAAAGCATGATGTGCAGAGAAGAGCCCATCTGCCAGGAGCACTCACCTTCCTCAGCCTCAAGGTCACATAGAGGGCAAAGTCAATAATCCACCAGCCTGGACCCTGCAGTGCTGCTCTGAGCATAGACAGAAATATTACATCATTGAGGGCAGCTCAGTTGAAAGCCTTGGAAAGCAAGAAAAAGGAATGAAAAGAAGAGGAAAGAGATCAGTGCAGGATTTCAGGAGGGAGAGTGGCCACAATTTAGCAGCTGGGTGAATCCCAGGTGCTGGAGGTGGCTTGGTCCTAGGGTTTCCAGCACTAACTAAAGAACCTACAAGGCAGAA